AAGGGTAAAGGGTGAACACCAAAAACCTCTTAGATTGTTGCAACCATTATTGATTCCAGAATGGAAATGGGAAAGAATCACAATGGACTTTGTCACATGATAGCTTAGGAGTCGGGAGAATTATGATTCGATATGGGTAATTGTTGACAGTTTTATAAAATTAGCCCATTTTCTGCCAGTTAAGATTACTTATAGACATGCAAAGTTGGCAGAATTATATATTAGTGAAATTGTACGGTTGCATGGAGTGTCAATCTCAATAGTGTCAAATAGAGGTCCGCAATTTACATCGTGGTTTTATGTGAAGTTCCAAAAGGCTATGGGTACTAAATTGCAGTTCAATATAACTTTTCACCCTTAGACCGATAGTCAATCTGAGAAGACTACTCAAATCTTGGAGGATATGTTAAGGGCTTGTGTTATGGATTTTGGAGTTGATTGGAGTAAGTTCTTACCATTAGTGGAATTTGCTTATAACAATAGTTATCAGGTTAATATAGAGATGGCACCTTGTGAGGTTTTGTATGATTGGAAATGTAAATTACTGGTTTGTTGGTTTGAGGTTGGTGAGAAGAGGCTGATAAGACAGAAGTTTATTCAGATTAACTTAGAAAATATAGAGGTAATTAGAAAGAAGGTTCAAATAGCTCAGAGTAGACAAAAAAATTATGCAGATAAAAGAAGGCGTGACTTAGGTTTTTTAGTGGGTGATTATATGTTCTTAAAAGTATCACCGACCAAAGAAGTATTCAGGTTTAGGAAGAAATGCAAGTTAAGTCCTTGATTCATTGGACTGTATGAGATTTTGGAGAGAGTTTGGGCAATTGTTTATAGATTAGCATTACTACCCAACTTGTCTATTATGCATTCGGTATTTCATGTTTCCATGCTAAGGAAGTATATGTCAGAACCATTGCATATATTAAAAGTTTATCCCGTTGAATTGAGAGATGATATGATTTATGAGGTGCAATCGGAAGCTATAGTTGATCGACAAGGAAGTTTAGGTTGAAAGATATAGCTTTAGTGAAAGTGAAATGGAAAAGTCATTCGCATAAGGAAGCGACATGGAAGCTTGAGGACAAGATGCATAAAGAGCATCCTCATCTTTTTGATAATCTCGGTAAGTATTCAATCATTTCTATTAAGTTTCGAGGATGAAACTTTTATAAGGTGAGGAGATTGTGATGTTTTGATTTAAAAAAAATTAGGAAAAAGTAACAAAGCCCTTAGAGACTTAAAAGTAAGTATAAATGAATAAGGGCTATTGTAGTAAAGAAACAATAAGTTAATAAATATAAATAGGAAGAGGAAAAAAGAGAGAGAGATATATGAAATTAAGAGTGAAAAAATATTGATTGGAGAAGAGAAGAAAAGGGGAAGAAAAAGAAGAGAAAAGAGGGAAAGATAACGAAAAAGAAGAGATTTGTAGAAAATAAGTTTAAAGATAAGATTTAGGTTGTTAAATGTAGAAATGTGTGTTATTTGAGCTTTTAATTTCTATTTTAATAAATGTTAGGGTTTTGAAGATTGTGTTTTGGGTTTGATTGATGAATTAATTTGAATTTTATAAGGTTGATTGTTGCGAGTAATGTATTAGTTAGTTGATCATAGAATATTTTAGATAAAAATGATGATTTTGAGTTATAATTTGTGTAAATAGTGAATTTTAAGTTAGAATTCAGGAAAAAATAGTAGTTAATCTGTGAAAATTCTAGGTTTGAGGTTGAAGATGATGAAAATTCAGTTTGGTCCCTCAATTTGTGAAAATTATAGTTTAGTCCCCAAACTTTGAAAAATTATTGATTGGTCTGTGGAGCATATTCTGAGATTCTGGACAGAATAAAAGATGAATTATGGGTAGAATTCCAGTATAGCTATGAGTTTTTAACACTTTAAATTTGGTCATTCAATTTGACAAAAATTACAATTTGAACATAAAAATGTGAAAAAAATTCCAGAATGGTCCCTAAAGCATAATTAGAGATTCTAGATAGAAATGAGGATGAATTATGAGAAAAATTCTAGTATAGTTATGAATTTCTAATACTTTCAATTTGGTCCTCCAAATTGACTAAATTATAATTTGACCCTAAAAAGAGGATAAAATTCCAAATTGGTCCCTAACTATAATTTAGCTTTTTCAGATTGGTTTTATGAATAATTAAGGGCTATTTAGTGAATTATTATCAAGTCTTATTATTTTTTTTTATTATGGATTAAATTTCAGGAAAACCGTTTAATTTTTGGGTTTTAAAGAATATTGACTAGTTAGTTAAAAAACATATAGAGTTATGGAATACACCCTTAGTTAAGTATATTGAATAGGTTAAATGTTCTTTCGAGTCGTTTTTGAATATATTTTCTTTGTATTCAGATAATCCTGATATTCTACTGATAGGACGTTGTTGAATTTTTTTCGGTATTTACTTTTGACTTCTATTTGTTTTTAAGTCAGGCAAGTGAATAATTTTTTATATGTATGAAAAATATTATAATTATTGATTTGTTAATATAAATTAGACCATGCTTATATATATATATATATATATATATATATATATATATTATCCTTGTTATGATGAAACATAATTAATTGTTGAATCTGAATTCTTGATATGAAACAGTATATATTTTGAATTGACTTCTGAATTAATAAATCCTCATTTCATTGATGTCATGAGTTGAGTCTTGAGATATGAATATGTCTATTTGATTATGACTATGAACCTATGGTATGTCAGTTAAAATACCCATGCTTAGAAGATAGTATTAGTCTTTCTGCACATTGTATATGAATCCTAGTTGGTTGTGAGAGTCACCAACATATGTGGATTGATCCTCCCACTGTAGGGAGCCTCATGCTCATTGCATTTTGATTTTTTTACGAGCTTTACCTTATGATATTCTTGTCATGGTCTATTTGAGGAACCTTCTTATAAGAACCTAGAGCTATAATTATATGTATATATATTCCTATTGTTGTATTACCTCATGGATATAAATTGAACGTTATCTACTCACTAAGTTGTTGAACTCATTCTCTCATTATTTATCATTTTCAGGCTTATAACTTGATAGTAGGTCACTTTTGTTGGATCTTAAAAACCTGCTCTTTTGATTATAATTTGTACATTTTCTTTTATGTCTAGTTAGTATTAAAAAAATATGAATTTATATGAACTTTTATATTAAGACAATCAAATTATATTATAAAATTAATTTTATGATTAATGTTGCGTTGAACTCTGAATGAGTTAGGATAAGTTTATATGTAAGTTTAAGTTTGTATAGATATGAAACCTTGGAGGGAAATATTTGTCTATATGTCGGTCATGGATCCAAAAATCAGGTCATGACACATTTTTTCTATTTGTTAAAATTCAAATCGGTCTATATTCTAGGTTGATCGAGTCTCAGATCAACCCCCTGAGCCAATCCTGGTTTTATAACTGAGGTTATTATACTATTTTTAATTTTAATACTCAATATAAATTAAAGTAAATAAAATAATATCTAATTAATTTTTTAAATATGTAAATTTAGTAGCAATTAATATCAGGGTAAAATATATTTTTGTATATTTTATTATATCTTATTCACCATCAACCAAATAAAATAAAAAAAATAATTATTTTATTTTATATATCATTACCAAACACAATTTTATTTTTGTTTTGTGTTCTATTTTATTTTCTCTATCTCTTTTGTTTCATAACAGTAACCAAACGCTCATGGAAAATATGATATCATGATGAAGAGGCTGTTTTAAAAATTTATCTAATTTATATAATCAAACAAGCAATTTGGGAGAGTTAAATCAAACTAGCATGTCGAAAATCAATGTGTAGGGTAAAACCTTTGCAGGCAGGGCTAAAAAATGTCAACATAGAAATTCAAAATAATTCTATGATGATAGAAAATATTTATATGAAATGGTAAGGAAAAAGAATTCAAAAAACCACAACATCAAGTTCTGTTTCGCAGTGTGCTTAGTCGCTTTGATCACTGCCAATAATATATAATTAGATTTTAGTGATCATGTTGGGACATAATAAGGCTTACTTCTTTTTTTTTTTTATAATTCGAGGTGTCATGCCAACTTACATGTATTACAATTAATTTTCAGATTCACTAAATATCCTGCAAGCCCAGCAACTAAGTAAGGTATAACGAGAATGACAAATATGTACGCTAAGACTTGAACCTAAAATGCTTAGACAGACAAACCCTGCCAAAACTGCTAGGCTACAAGTTTTGGTATAATAAGGCTTACTTGTTTGGTATGGTGGTAGTTTTTATTTTTTAAAGTGTTTTTTAAATTATTTTTTGTTTGAGAAAAATAGTAAACTAATGCTATATTTTTATATATTTTTCAATAATTTTAATATACTAATTATATATAAAAAAATAATTATAAAGAAATTAAAATATTATTTTTAATGTATTTTTAATTAAAAATACTTTTAAAAATATTATACACTATATTACGACAAATTAAGTATCTCAAAAGATATCCTAGATTGTCCTTATTTGTTATAGAATAAGATCAATAATAATAATAAAATAAAATAAATCAATTTCCTGCTGTTGGAAATCACCAAAATAATGTACTTGTTCGTTTGTCTGGGAATCATCATGGATACCAAAAATCTTAATCATTTCATAATTTTCATATTGGAACAAATTATTGTCCCAACAAGTACCTATTTCGAAGATGCCTATCTTTTTTCTTCTTGGTGGCGGATTACCATGCACCTTTTCGATTCTCTACCGAGCTGGTCATCTATGCCTATATATATATATATATATATATATATGAAGTCTTGATGAGTGGATTTCCCTATTTGTTAATTTCCTCTTCCAATAGTTTTCGGGAGATATAATGCATTCGGAGAGTAAAATTAGTCTTATACATCTGTAACTAAGATTTGCTTTCAGATGTTCTCTCAATTCTTGAAGCTAAAAGGAGAAAACATTGCATAGGCCATATTATTACAACTAGTTGGAATTTCATTTCAACAGTTATATTGTAATGGAATAGTATCATATAGAGCATCTGTTTTTAACTTCCATTGGAATAGATGTAGGAGTTTGCATTCAGTTTACTTTGGTAGGGATCTTTGGCTCAATTTCTATCTCCAGTCCATCCTTGAAAATTGGCAATGGATCCCTTGAAAAAGAAGTGTTTGGGTGACATAGCTTCCATGTAAACCTGTTCACTAGGTAATGTATTGTTATCAGAGTTTCAAGTCTTGCAAATTCATATCCAGGACATATTCTAGCTCCGCCTCCGAATGCCACAAAACTATATGGAGGAACTGATGCCTGTTTGTCAAAGTGTCCCGGATCAAAATCTGATGGATTTGGGAAGACACACTCATCCATGTGTGTCATGCAGGCTGCCCAGGCTACCTGAGTCAAAACTTAGCAAAAGACATGTTATCTTGTAGCACTGGTGAGTAAGTTACAATGACAAGGGAAACACACTGAGACTTGAACCATACCTGCCATCCTTTGGGAATTAGGTATCCTTCATATTCAAAATCTTTTAGGACCTTCCTGAAGAAGGAAAACACTGGAGGGGTCATCCTTAGAGACTCCGTCGCTACTCTCCATGTGTATCTCATTCTCTGGAGATCATCCCATGTCAAAAGGTCCTCTGAGACCTTACTCCCGGCAATCTCCTCTTGTTCTGTAGTCTCAAATTTTAGTAACTGCTTGGAATTTGTTCAATATTTTTGGTCTTTATTGAATCAATTTAGTTGCGTACCTTGAAGAACGCTGGCATAAACAGATGGATTATTGGCTAAAATATTGATCAAGAAACTGAGGAGGATGGAAGTTGTGTCATATCCAGCTATCATTATAAGGATAACATTATCTACTATTTCCTCATCAGATAATGCTGCTGAAAAGTCCGCATTTCTGAGACTAAGCAGTGTGGTGATAAGATCTTGTCGTGGAGAGGTGATTTGATCCTCCATTGCAGCCCTCTTTTCATGAATCAGATCCATGACAATCGTTCTGATTTTTTCTCTAGCTTGGAGGCTACGGTTGAAGCATGTGAAGGGAAAATTGATTGGCACAGAAAGAACACCCTTCAGCAGTTGTTTGAAGAGCTCTACAAGTATCTCTCTTTTTGCACTTTGCTCTATTCCGAATATCAGTGAGCTCATAACGTTGAAGGTAAGAGTCTTCATCAATGGCATTGCCTGCGTTGTAAAGAGAAATAAGAGATGTATAAGACATAAAGAAATGCAAGAGTACACAGTTTTCATTACTTCACCAGTGATTTTCAACCTGTAGAGGTCAACAGTGAAAATTAGGACATTTACCGTAATAAGCACTTATCATTTTTATGTAGTGCAAGTATTTTGTCGTTTGATAAAATTGACCTACCAAAACCTTCTTCTTTCCATGCCAATGAATCTTGAAATGCTTTCTGACTTCTTCATCCATCTTACCAACATATTGCTTCAACACTTCAGGCTTTAAAATCGATACAAGAGCTCCTCTAACACGCTTGTGCTCATGACCACTCATTTCCAGGATATTCCTCTCGCCGCAAAGCCTTCTTATAGACGATGGTTGCTGGTTGGCAAGTAGGCTATCATCACAGGTGTAGATGAACTTGTTTGCAGCCTGACCGCATACGAATACTGTTGGAGCCCCCAAAAGGCTCATTTTCGAAATGGGGCCATATTTTCTTATTTTATCCTGAAGCCATTCTTCTGCTCTATTTTTCCTCATGGCACTTAGGAAGCTGAAAGTTTGGCCAATGATAGGGAAACCCAAAGAACCTGGTGGTAGCTTTTTTGAACTTTTCCTGCAGGCGATCAGGAGAAGGTAGAGAGGGAGAAGGAACAAAAGCATAGAGAAAAAGATTGTTGGACTCATAGTTACTACTATCTGTGCTAGTGTAACTAAACCTGAGATATTTTCCATAAACAAATTAGTAGTGATTCTTGTTATAGGAACTCTGAACTTGTCTCTTATTCTTAACTACAGAATCTGCATTCTTACATTTTTCTTGTCGTTCATGCATAGCATTTATCCAAGCACCAAAACATAAGAACAAGAATCAATTTGAATCTTTCGTAATTGACAAATAGGAACTCCTTCAAGGGTTGCTATCAGGCAGGTGGAATATTCAATGAGCAGCTGGTCTAACAGTAACACAATTCTAAAGTATTTGAAAGTTCTACCAAAGAAAAATGTCATAAAATCCTGGTGAAGGCATGTATCTGATTAGAATTTAAAATCCCTATCAAATTCTGTCAGGTGACATAAAGCAGCAAGTAGAGTATCATCCGAATGACCGGCGATGCATATAAATCCGTCCACATAACGTCAAACCAAGAAAGACAATTTACAATTTATCAGCTAGTCTTAGGAAGTATTTTGCCGCTGGGCCTGTTGAGACTACATTTGTTATAACCTAGCACTAGTTTTAGTGCTAATTAACTATGGAAGAGCCTTGGCCCCTAAAATATGGCTGGCATATCTTGTGTTGACACATTCAATAGCAGGAATATTCGGAGATGACCCCAATATCCACTGCCTTACAAAATTAATTAGCATCAGTTTATCAAAGGAAGATTTTTTCATACAGCTGAACTCTTTCTTTAATAATTTATCTAATCAAATTATCTACTTAAATTGGGATCAAATTAACCATTTTAATCACTTAAACCAAATATTTCCCAAAATTAATTATTATTGTGGAATAAATTATGGATTTGAGAAATTGATATTGTAAGACCTAAACTTTTGGCCCAAAATTAAGTCCAAGTCAGCGCTAACCCAATCTAAATTAACATAAGTATTTAAAAAATAGTTGCAAGAGAATTTCTTTCATCTCTTCTAATTCTTATAGCTACCGTGACTCTCCCCTCCTCAAACCAAAAATTTTGATTTTCTATATTGAGTTTTTTATTAAAAAAAATGGAAGTAACAAGTAAGTGGTTCTCTTTTATATTACTTTCGAGTTTGTTTATGGAACGATTAAAGAAGAGATTAGGATTTATATTGTTAAGATTGATTTATGATTATTAAGGGTTTAATGTTATGTGAGTAATTAGTATGTTGTTGAAAAAAAAAATTATGAGTTGATTTGTTTAAATTAATTTTTATAAGTTAAGAAATTTATTTTAACTTTACTAGAAAATTTGGATAGAATAGTCTTGACAAAAGGTCTTAAGGTTGAAGATGACAAAATTTTATTTTGGTCCTTGATTTATAAAAATTTTAGTTTAGTTTCTAAACTTTGAAAAAATTACAATTTGAACCCTAAATGTATTTTGAGATTATAGGCAGTGTTAGTATGAGGTTAAAGATGATGAATCTTAGTTTGATAATTAATTTGAAATATTTTTGGTTTGATCCCTCAATTTGAGAATTTACATTTTAATCCCTAAAATTTATAAAAATTATAGTTCGGTCCCTAATTTGTTCTTGACAGAATTGAGGATGGTTTATGGGTGAAATTTCACTCTAGTTATATATTTACAATTTGGTCCAGTTTTGGTAAAATTATGTTTTGGTCTCTCTTTTGGATAATTGTCATTTTAGTCCCTAAACCCAAAAGACTAAACCTGGTTTTCTTTTATACATTAGAATCTTTTACTTGTGTTGCTTTGAGTTGCCTTTAAGTATATTTTGTATATTTATTATAGGTTCTCCTAACGATTATCAATAGATTTTTCGAGTATTTTATCTAGTATTCTTTTTAGTTCTATATTTTCCGGGTGAGTGGAATAATCTTTAATATTTATATAATATAAATAAATATGTATGTTGATTATATGATGAATATGACTAGCTAATCTCTTGAATACTTATATAAGTTGCTTTATTTTCCGAGTATTTACTTATTCTTGAATTTGCACTCACTTTCTGTTAAACTAAATTCTATTTGATATGATATACATTTTATTAATAATTATTCGAATATCTATTATGCTTTGATATAGAACTTGTCAGTAAAACTATGCTAATGGAGAGTAGTTAGCCTATGTACATATAGTATTCTATATACCTAACTGGTGAGAGAAGCATCAACCTGTGGTGACTAATCATCCCACAGTGGTCACCTTGGATGTCATCTGGTCGCTAACATGCATTTCACTACGTTATGATAATATGTTTAGTGAATATATATATATATATATATATATGAAAATAAATCACTTGCAAATTATTAATATCTAAAATGTATATTAAATATTATTCCCTTACTAAGTTGGTTGAACTCATCACTTATTTTTTATATTATTTCAAGTTCTTAGTTTTTGTTAGCATATGGACTTATTGAGTGTTCTTGTTTCTTCAATTTTGATTAGTATGTCTTACTTGTTTTGCAAGGCTTTCCTTTTAGTTCTGATTCGATATCGTAGACACTTCATTATACCCTGTTTTAATTAAGTTTGGATTTTTGACAATGCAATGAGTATTATAAATTATTGTTTTTGTTTTAACTATCGATGAGCAATTTTGAACTATCATTTGGTTTTATTAGTTTTGAATAATATAATATTTCTGAAGATTATGAAATTTTATATATTTTTAAATAACTTGTTCTTTTGATATGTCTATTTAAGGCTTAGTGTAGGTGGGGTGTCCTTTTAACATCACTTCTCTATTGTCAATCATGGACCCGAGATTCAAGTCGTGACAAAGATGGTATCAGAGCCAACCTCACTGGTTGTTTGATTATACTTACGGGGTTATCGGCTCTTTTAATGGATTGTAATATCTCACATTGACGAGTGAGAGTGGTAACTGGTCTTATTAAGAGTGTTAGTTGCCAACTTGTCATACTCGTTTTAGGGCATCAAGCTCAGAAATGAGCTCACGTTACTAGAAACAAAACCGTGAGGACGATAAGGCGCAAAGCAAATAATATATGACAGGTTGGGCTGGGCTGTTACATTTAGTATTAGAGCTCGGTTTTGTTAAAACCTTGTAATATGTTTTTTTGTTAAAATCCCTGTAATACATGGACCTTAGGATCCTTCTCATCTTGTTATGATTCCTCTTTGTCTTTTTTTTTTTAAACTTTTATTTTATTGTTGTGTTGATATATATGTGAGGAAATATATATGTATGTGAATATTTGATATGAATATATCATTGGATATACTATATATAATATGTGTTTTTCAAACATGTGATAATATTTGATGTAAGTATATTCTTGGATATAATATATGTGGTATAGGTATTTTGCATACATGTGAGGAAATACTTGTGTGTATAAATATTTGATATAAGTATATCCTTGAAAGTATTTGTATAATATGTGTATATGAGTAATAATATTTCTTGAAAATACTTAAGCATAAGTATTTGGTATAAGTATGTTTTTAGAAGTATTTGTATAATATATGTAAATGAGCATAAATATATTTTGCAAGTATTTATGAAATATGTGTGTGTCATATGAAGTGAGTAATTATTATAAATATTATTTAAAAGTATTTTGACTTATGAGAAAAATAATATTATATCTAAAATAAATATGATTTGTTTATATATATAATTTGTCATTGTGTGATTTTGAAATATAAATTTGATATGAATTTCTGAGTGATTTTAATATATAAATCTAATATAAATTTTTCAATTAAAATAACAACATTAACTTGTGTGAAAAGCCTCACATAGATTTGTATGCTCTATTTATATTTGATTTTTCTTTTGACTTGTAGTGTTTTAAAAGTATGTACATATACAAATAATGTTAGTGGGTGCATATTTGATGTAAGTATGTGTTTTTGAAGTATTTAAACAACTTATAGTATTTTTATATTTAAATTTGATTTTTCATCATATTTATATCTATATAAGTTATCTTTGGTAAATATTCTAAAAAATATGTCTAATAATCTAGTAGATATTCTTTCTCTCTTCAAATGTTCATTTCTCTTTTATTTCTATCATTTTGTTATGTTCTAGTAGATATTCTTTATTTTTTTATCTTGTTTGTATCTTTAAGGTTATAGTTTTGAATTTTCATCTAATGTTCTGTCTTCTTACTTATCAAATTCATTTGAATAGTTTTTTTACATATCTATATTGCATTTAACTTCCGAACCACAAGAATGACTTTAGCTACCTCAACTATTTTTTTAATCTGATTCTCTCAAACTACTAAATCAATTGTTGCTACCTCAAGATGATTTTCTTTGATTTCAATTTCTCCTGATGCAATGAAGTCTTTGTGGCCATGAATTTTTAAAATAGATTCAAAAGCCTCTTTGCTTGTTTCATATTCTGTAGTCTGTAAATTTGATGCATTATATGAGGTTTTATTTTTTTTTCTACTTGGACTTCATTTAGACTACCCTTTTGTATGTTTGTATTGATTTCAACCCTAAATCTCGAGTTTTCAAACTCATTGGTTTCATCCTTATGCAAACATGTATCTCCTGTTATCTTTAGTGGACATCGATTTTATGGATCCATTGGTATTTTCACTTGTACACAATCTTTGATATTCTTAATAATCATTTCAGTCTTACAATCCTTTTTCTTAGAAAGAAATGTCATTATTAGTGTCTGATTTTGCTTTCTAATTTCTCTTTTGAGATAGTTTGACTTAAATTACTCTCATCTTGTTTTAGTGCTTCAAGCCTTGAGAGTTAGTCATGGATACTAATTTTGGACCGTCTTTGATTTCTTCTTTAGTTTCATCAGGAGTTTCACTCATTTGGACTTTAATTTTGTATATCTTTATTAGATTGAAGCTTTAATTAGGATATGTCATGTTCCATACAATCATCTTCTTGCAATACACTATTAAAAACATGGGTTACTAGCTTCTAAATTTAGCAACAGAATTATTTGTTGCTAAATTCAATAACAAATTTGCAACGGATTAAACATATATTATTTTTTTAATATTAGCAACAGGCTTTAGCAATGGAAAATCCGTTGCTAAAGACAACGTAAAGTTTGCAACGGATAATCTGTTGTTAATTAAAAAAATAATTATTTAAATCTTAATATAAAACCAAAATTATAGAAACCGTTGATTGCTTTTGATATGATAAAATCTCAACCGTTTAATTTTGCTCCATTGCTTTCTACACCTGCAAAACTCCCCCCCACCCCACACCCTTGGAGACGTAAACAAAGAACAATAAAACCAGCAGCTGAAAATTAATTAACTTTCCATCTTCTTCATCCCTAATAGCATACATAGTTGTAGAAAAATCACCCTCTCTTTGTCGATTTGGTTTTCCTTTATCCCAAACTTTTCATCTTCTTCTCATTCATCTTCAACATCCCTAATTTTTTTATCATCTTTTTCTTCTTCATCTTAACAGTTTCAATCTTTCTCTGTAAACCACCAAAAACACAGACCCATGACAATATCACACTAGACCCATTATAATCACTAAGGAACATCTTGATTTACCCCTTCTCTTTGTAAACGGGTTGGGTTTTGCACTCTTTTCTTCAATAATTCAGGTAATTAATTTAGGATTTATATTTTTATCTGTTGCAATTTAACTTGCACTAAAACATTTTAACCTAACTTTTCTAATATCATGTGTTATTTTGTCATGTAGATTCATCATATTCACCTATAACTCAAGAACACAGGTAATAATTTTTTTTACCGATACTTTGAATAATGGTTTTATGCTATTAATTCGATAATATAAGGGTTTATGAAATGCTTTTAAAATGATCCATAACCTAATTATACATGTTTAATTGAAAATTTATAAAAAAAACCCAATTTAATTTTTAGGGTTACAGTTCACAAATTGAGTGATTTTAGGCAACTGGACCAATGCTGGTAATTTATGTGTTTGGAAGAGAGTGATTGATAGAAATTATGCATCAATTCAATTTCTTCACTTTCACTGGGGTATTTCATGATGCTATAACTTGCTATCTCTCTGCTTCAACTTTTCAACTTGTGATGCTCTACTTCTATAAATTTTAAGTGTTACAGCAGTATATGGATGCTGTTCAAATCTAAAGAGTCTAACAACTAGTTAACCTGTGATGCTCTGCTTCTGTAGTAGTTCAAGTGTTTCTTTTTTTTCTTGTTGTGATTTGATTGAGCATGCTTGCAAAGTTTTAGTGCTTCATCTTAGTCATAGCCAATCCAAATTACTAGGATGTGGTGGTTGTTGATTCATGTAGTTAGTTTTTCAAAATATGCAATTATTAGATTTAGTTGTAAAACTTAAACGCACTTATTTTCCTTGACAAAATTCAAATTTTGCGATCCTATTCATATTTCTAATATCATCTCATTTTCTGGAATAATTCACCTTTTATTTTGCTTTGTGTTATTCAGGAGAAACCTCAACTATTTTAGTTTGTTTTAAATTAAAAGCAGGTACCATTTGTTTAGACCACATGGTATTCACAAAGTTGTATTTATTGTGATAGATTTATATTTATGTTTTTATCTAATTTCTGCTCCCATAGGTCAAGGCAACACACCAACTTCTCAAGACTATTCCATATAACGATAGGAGCAGGAGGGTTGATGGAGTTACTATTTTCAGCAAACAAAATTTAGGTATTGCAATAACTACTAGAGACAGAATTAAGTGGTGTTCATTGATTCTCTTGTATCAAAAAAATTAATAAATAAATTGGGGGGTTTTGATAATGCATATCTAAATTTATTTTCCTTGTAGATCCTAGTTTTGGATGTTCATGTGAACATGATACTAGTTATCTTCAATTAACTTTTTAGGGCATAGGACTGTTTCTTTCCTTTCCTTATTCAATGCCAATTTGTATATAAAAAAATTAATTGAATGATTTTCTTTCTTTAAATCTGATATTAATTTTTTTTTTGGATGGAAATTATGAGACCAAAATGAAACCTGGAGATGACTAAATAATATATCAATTAACTACAAATTTATTTTGATTGTTGCTCAGAAGTTAGTAGTTCCATGCTGTGAATTCTTGGTCCTGTACTGCCTTTCTATTGATCTGACTTTTGGTTAGCTAGGTTTATTCATAGCTAAGTTATTTCTGTTATGCTTTTTATACCTTGTTGTTCTGCTATTTGAACTAAAAGCATCTCATTGGAATTTTCTTTTATGCAAAGGCTCTGTTTTGTAGACAAATTATGTCCTAACCATACAGATTCCTATTAAGTTATAGGTTTTAAGAGATAATATTTATAGTAAATTATAATTTAGTCTATGTATTTTTTATAATTTTATAAGCTAGCATTATGTTTTTGAAAACCATAAGATAGTTCCTTGTTATAAATTAAATGTTAGTTATTTTGAAATTTCAAAATGCATTTGTAATCTTGTTCAAGATTGAACATTTTCAGGTTAAATCTTAGAAGAAAAAAATTTGTTATGAGAAGACAAGTGCCATAAAAATATAAAAAATTAACAGTTTAACTTGGATATTCTTTTCATTTTTTGTAGTTTAACTTAGATTTGTTTTAAAGACTAGCAATAGATATAGTTGGATGGTTTTAACATACTATTTTTTTTTTTTTATTTTTCTAGCCATATGAATGGCTTATTGGATCACAATATAAACCAATAGAGCTGGCTTAGTTTGATTGGGTTGCAATAAGAAAATCTTCACCTTGGGCCATTGATTATTAGGGTTTAGGTAAGTCTATTTTTCTCCATTTTTAGATGGTTGCTTAATTATATTATGCTTAATTTATCTGCTAGGCATGCCTATTATAATCTTTTCAATTAATTGGATCTCTGCTTTTCATTAGGATAAGATAATGTATATTTAAATTTATTTTCCTTGTAGATCCTAGTTTTGGAGGTTTATGTGAACAAGATGTTGTGATTATATTCAATTAACTCTTTTGGGCATAGTATTGTCTTTTTTTTCTTTTTTCTTTTACATATTACTTCTTAAAGTTCAGGAAACATCATAGTATTAATTGGTGGCGTGATCTCTAATAACAAATAAATGTTTTTAAAATGAATACCTCAAGGGCAATCAATAGTTTTGTCCTTTAATAAGATATATCATGAAAAGGTAAGTTAATTCATGTTTTTGGTATTTTTTCTCTTAAGAAGAATAAGAATAAGCCTCGGTCTTCTTTATCTAATTTCAAAAGCATAAAGGCATTTAGAGACCCAAATCTCATTTTGATTATTTGGTAAGACAATATAAATCAATAACGGGGCAGTTTAGAACTTTGGATGGGTAGTTCAAAAAAAGCCCTTTCATGTTTAAACCAACTTACATTATTTTTTAAGCTGATTAATGGGTTGTCCAAAAAAATAATTAATGATTTTTGAAACTTATACTGCATTTTTTTAGCGGCAAAACAAGCTATTGAGTAAAATCACCATGTTAAAATCATAATTCTCTAATTAAAATATAATATTATAGTATTTATATATTAAAACAATCTGATATTAAATTAAATTAAATTAAATTAATAGTTTATTCTAATAATTAAAAAGGAAATGGATAAATAACAATATTGTTTAAATTTGGATTAAATTAATAACTTATTAGAATTCTTATATTTCAAATAAATTATGAAATCATGTAATTGAATTCAATTTTACGTCAAAATAAATGCTTAAAATATATGTCAAAATGAATTCAATTAGAAAGCTTTACAAGATTTATATGTTGTAGCTTGTTAATGAATATCACCTCATTTTTAAACTCATTTAATCCTTGTCTAGATCTCCTTAACAGCCTCTTCACAGCAATTTCTTGTCCATCTTCTAGCTTACCCTAAAAGAAAATGTTTATAAAATACTAAATTACATATAACTCGAAAAGTCTCCCTTTTACATGAAGCATAACTCTATTGTTTCAGTAGACTGCCAATAAAATATGTCAATTACTAATGTCTTATGTTAGAATTGTTGTAGAGTGTTAAGGTTATTAGATAATTTTGCCAACTGGAACAGCAGTGACCTTAAATAGCAGCCCAATAAATCTTAACATGACCCATGAACTCTAAAAGTACTAATTTATTGGCTATATATATGTGTGAGCTAGACAAATAATTAAAGTTTGTTTATGTGGTACATATTTTATTTTAAATGATTGTGTAAGTACTAGTAGTTAAAGAAGTATGCTTATTTCTAAAAATGCTTATTGGTGTTATCATGTTAATTAGATTAATATGGATGATCGACTGTGGATGTATCATCATCTTATGGATGGTCGCCTTCATCCTGGATACATTACAGGTGTTAGAAGATTTATCAATTTTTCCTTTTCAATTAATAAAAATATATCTAGGGGAAAAATTAGATGTCCTTGTGTAAGGTGCAAAAATCAAAAGTTTTTAAAGGAAGATGATATTTGTAAGCATCTATTGACAAAAGGTTTTTTTATCTTATTATGAAAATTGAACTGTACATGGGGAGCCTTATGTCGTAGAACTAATATTGGCTAGACCTTCATTTAGAATTAGTCATGTTGTGAATGATGTTTGTCTAGAAAATCCATATAGAAATCTGGTTATGAATCCAATGGGGTTGGTGATGCATACTCTAATGATAATATGTCTAGTCCTGTAATAGTAGAGGAACTTCAAAATCCGAAGGCAACTAATTTTTTTAAGCTTTTTAAAGCTGTGGAGGAGCCTTTATGGGATAGGTATACCAAGCAATCCAAATTATCTGCTTGTATACAATTGCTTATTATGAAGTCAACTTTAAATTTGACTCAAACTGCTTTCAATAAGTTTATTGATTTTACAAAAGTTGCATGCCTAATAATGAAACTTTGGTATCCAATTTTTATGATGCCAAGAAATATATGCAGCCACTTGGACTTGGTTATGATAAATATGATGTGTGTCCTAATTACTGTATGTTATACTACAGGGTAGATGCAATGAAAATAAATTATAATTTTTATGAAAATTCACGATACAACCCTAGAAATCTAACTAGTAAAGGTTCCAATAAGATAGAGAAGTTACTCCAATATTTCCCCTTGACACCAAGGCTTCAGAGACTATTCATGTCTTCATATCATACAAAAGATATGACATGGCATCATTTTTATAAATCAGATAATGGGGTTATGGTGTATCTATCTAATGGGGAGGCATGAAACAAGTTTAATCATGTCCATTTAAGTTTTGCATCAGATCCAAGAAATATTCGGTTAGGGTTATGCACTGATGTGTTTTGTCCATTTGACATGTCTTCAAATATATACTCTTATTGACCAGTAATTATGATTGTTTATAATTTGCCTCCGTGGAAGTGCATGACTAGACCATTCATGTTTTTGACAATGATGATTCCTGGGCTAAAGAATCCGAGGAAAAAGCTTGTTGTTTTTCTAAGACCTTTGATTGATGAGTTAAAAAATTTATGGTATGTTGGTGTTGAAACATATAATGTATACAAAAAGAAAAATTTCCAATTAAGGGCAGCTTTGATATGGAGCATTAGTGACTTTCTAGCATATGGCATGTTATTGGGGTGGAGTACTCATGGAAATCTGCCTTATCCTTATTGTATGGAGCATAACCAGGCTTTTAGATTAAAAAATAGCAGGAAAACTATATTTTTTTTATTATCGTCAACGATTTCTACCCACGAACCACCTGTAATACCCAAACTTAAGCCCAAGTGAGCCCAAACCCAACCTAAGTTAACCTAGGTATTTAAGGAAGAGTTATAAGAGAATTTCTTTC